AAGTGCCCAATATAATATACACTGTCAAAAGAGTATACAATAAACCAGTGCCTAAAGCATTTTCAAGCGGCGTCGAAGCGAAAGACATTATTGAGGCTGCTATAGATCTGAAACAATTGTTTACTGCTATAGATGAAGCGCTTCGGCCAGGAAAAGCGTCGATTAAGTATGTTGATGAACCATTAAATACTGACAATGCACCAAATCCGACTATAATTAGACAAAAAAAAAAAAAATTTCATTAGAATTAAGATATACAAAATAATAATAATAATAATAATAATAACAATAATAATAATAGAGTGACATACGTACAAAAAAACATAGATACTATAGGTAAAGAAATATGAGTATCCTTCGCAATAAACCATCCATAAGCTAAAAGTGAAACTGGGATTAACACTGATCCAAGCCAAACACTATTTATTCTCATTTCCGGATAAATACTACCGTATTTCTTTCTACTTTTAGTCAATATGAAATCAGAGTAATTTCCAGATATTACACTTCCTAAAAAGTATCCAATACCAGGAGAAAGAAGCACGAGCCCAACATTTGATGGAGACAGATTATACTTTGTTGAAAAAGTTGTTGGAACAAGGGCATTTTGGACATATATCACCGAATAAATTATACTTATGTAAATTATTGCTAAAGATAGATTTGGATAACGAAGTAAAGTAAGCGGTAAGAATGGATTAAACCGCTTTTTAGGAGGTGATGTTGTGGTAAGTGGCAACTGGGTGTGACGAAAAGTTTCGGGAAGTGCAAAGTATATGATGACTAAAATAATTCCTCCATATATTGATAGAAACCAAAAGATAAATTTCCACCCAAGGTATTGAGTTATATAACCGCCTATGGTTGGACCAATAGCAGGACCTATTAAAGGTCCCAAGTAGAACCATCCAAAAGCACGCCCACGTTCTGAACATGAAATACAAATGATTATACAATATTATATATATACTAATAAATAATGTTGACATATATCACATGCAAAATTGAGATAATTTACCTGTAGGAATGAATATACCACTTATAGTTCCTGCACCAATACTTAGGACTGCAGATCCACCAAAAGCCTGAAACGAACGCATAACTAATAATTGCCAAATATTATTCGATATAGCACATAGTATGCTTGCAACGACAAATATTATAAGGGATATTAAATAGACCCTTCGTCTTGTTTCGCGGGTATCGGAATATGAGGCCCATCCAAGTGGCTACGTACAAATACAAACATGGTCACGTGATACAAGCATTAAGAATGTTTTTTAACGTATCCAAAAAAAAAAAGCATACTGCAATGCCAATTATTAAAATAAAAGTCGAGACTGGATAATTAATGCAGACAATCAGATTTTTAAAAAATAATAATATCATTAAATCACATGAACAAATTGATTTACTTACTTATAGCGTTGGCAAGAACTTGAGAAGTTTTCAAATCAACGCCAATTTGAATAAGTGCGGGAAAAACAATTCTAGACAGAACAATCAAATTTAGTTTCAAGTTTACTGATTCAAAGAACTTCAAGATGATGATGCTCACGTGCAAGAAATAAAGGCGATTGTTCCTGCCACTGAGATAATGAATACTATGAACTGTTTTTTCCTTATCGACCAATTCATTGGATTATTTAATGAAGTACTTTCAGTTTCATGAATTTGAACTGATTCCTCAATTTTTTCATTCTCCAACGAAAGTTCATTTTTGCCATT